GAGCCAAGCCAAGTTAAGGAATAGATGAGCGTGCTCTTATAGTGTGACCTTCCCCATTTCACCATTAATCGAAAAAGTGATATGTTCCTAAGCGTACTCATTTTGATAATCTTCGATTACCTACTATAATAAAAATGTTTCATAAGAAGAAAGTAAAGAGTGGCCACAATGCATACCGCAGTCATAGCCTAATAAACTTCGTATACAATCTGCTGACTATCGCAGCCTCTGGGATACTTTTGAACTGAGCAATGACTTATCTGCGATTCCTTTTAAAGTCTCCATCTCTATACTCTGCAGGAGAAACAACTTTCTGTTCTCGCTAAACACTGGATTCAGAACTCACCAAAATTAGCAGTGGTAAGATGGAGGAGATTAGCAGATTTATCTGCACCTGCCTTGTGGAGAGATGGGAGGTCTTGATCAAGCGATAACGAAAGTACATCGAGTGGAGCACGGATATTGCAACGTTCATGTTCGCAGCATTTACAACATTGTAGGCAACATAGCAAGTCATTGGTCCAAAATGGCGGCATGGTCCAACAGGAAGCAAAGCTAGTACATCATCTGATGGGAGCAATCTGAACAATAAAATGTTGCATTGGGAAGGTTTCTACAGCAACGAAGGCAAACCTTGCTTGGAGGAAAGTCTCAACTAACGCCACAATCATTTGATTCACAGCTGTATTAATCAAGAGCATCCTGAAGCTCTGCAGACTGTGTGGGCTCCTAGAATTCTTAGTAAAAACTGCTCAAATTCTTCAGATGTCATTGATCAGGAAGGCTTGCTCTCTTTCTTTCCTGCTCTGTGACTTTCGTGATATGACTAATTTAGTCAGTAATATGTACACAATCGCATCCGTACAGTACAATGTGTAACGATCTTGATTGTTAGAGATAGAAAAAATAACTTGCTTGTGTTAGAGATAGAAAAATAACTTGCTTGTGGGTATGCACCTTGGAAAATACATTGCAAAACTAAAGTTCTCATCTGTTCTGAGAGCAAAGACCGCAGCATAAGACAGAAGGACATTCGCGTCTCGCTCATAGCAGTTTTTCCGTGCAATCCTATCAATGTGAGAATCACATACTGTACTAACAATAAGGAGACCAGAAGTTGTGTATCTAAGCGATAACGCAGAAATGAACTTGAAAAGACAATCGTCATCGTTGAGCTTCTCCTTATGCCTTCATAACGTCTACTCTTCTGTACAAGCTCACCTGTATTTGACGAGGAAAATAAGCAGGATATTGGTAGAAACGGAAACTATTCCATAGATCGCATAATAGTAGTTGATTATTAGCGCATCCAAATCGTCATCTTCCATACTAAAGGTGAATTTTGAGTCAACACCAAATTTCTGTTGGATAGGGTGTGTCTTTATCCCTACATTTTTCTATAGACAAATTTTCTATAGACACCAGTCAGCCTTCACATCATCAGATAAACAAGCAAAATGCATCGTCGTTCCACAAGACCTGTTGACGATGACATGATAAGCAAAAAGCAAGAATAGGTATGTATTATATAATGCAGATGAGCTGCCAAGGAACTAGCAACACGAGAGTACAGTCTATTTTAACCCAGAATAGACGAAACTTTGCAAGTGGATCAGCGCGTCCGTCCCGCCACTGGCTCAGCAAAATAGATTAGAATGAAGGAACA